CGCTCAGCTCCGGCGGATCAGTCGCGAACACCACTGGCAAGTCGCCGAACGGCTGCGCGAGCGATCCGTTCAGCGTCGCCGCGACGTTGTGTCCCAGCAGCTCGTTCAGCGCCACTGCCTCGAACGGCGAGCGCACGCGCGGCAGCGCACCGGTCGACTCCTCTGCGCGCTCGTCCGCGCCGCCGGCCCGCTTCTGCCGCACGAACTCGAGCACGCGCGCCGAAACCACTTTTTCGTCCATGAACCCCACCACCGTCTCCGCGAAGTCGCTGAAGGTGTATAGGATGGGCCCGTCGTGTCCCGCACAGCGCCGCTGAATCTCGCGGTCGCGCGCTCGCATCGCCGCAAGCAGTGCTCGTAGCTTCGCCTGCGACTCGCGGTCTGGCAGCACGCCGCGGCGCACGAAGTGCGCGTGCCGCTCGCTGAGCGAGCGCTTCAGCACGCCGAACGTCGTCTTGCAAAAAGTCGCCAACTCGTCCCACGCGCCGCTCGCGCGTGCATCCGCAGCGCCCGAGAGCTGCTCTCCGGACGACCCGCACACCGTCTCGCAGCTCTCGCCCCGCTGGCGGTGCTGCAGCTCGCCGAACTGCTTAAACACCAGCAAGTCGTTCTGCTCGAGTCCGTCCAACGCGCTCATGCGCAGCTTTAAATTGCGCCACTGCTGCGCCAGCGCGCGCCGATCCCCCGGAGCGGCGGCGCCGCGCAGCGCTTCCGCGCTGCGCTCGTCGCGCTGGGCCTCGGCGACGCTCGCGGTGCGTTGCTCTTCGGCTCCGCCCTCGTCGATTTTCGCCGAGGCGCGGCGCGCGCGCGCGCCGCTTTTGTCGCTCGCGACCACCAACGGCTCTTCCCGCAGATGCTTGTTAATCGGCGCGACCAGCGACTTCAGCGAGCGCAGCTCAAAAGGCCCGACTCGCTTCGCGAAGCGCGCGAAGCTCTGAAGCAAGCTCGCGTGCTGCTGACCAGTTCCCACGTGCTCCTTGTTCCGCGCCACGCCGTAGCCGCTGGCGCAGTACAAGTCGCTCTGAGCCGTCTGCCGCGTATCGCTCTGCAACTGCTCCCAAAACGCAAGCAGCCGCGAACCGCTCCGCTCTGCAGCAGGGTGTGTAGGAGCGGCGCGCGCGTCGGTCGTAATGCCGAACACGTACCACGCAAGCTTGCTGTTCAGCAACACGAACTTCAGGTCTGCAGAGCTCGCAAGCATCTCGGTTTCGCCGCGCGCCGCCAGCCGGTACATGCTCGCCGCTAGCAGCAGCGGCTTCTGCAGTTCCTCGAAGCTAGGCACCGCGCCTTCTCCGTGCGCCGCTGCGTCCCCCGCTTTGTCGCAGTAGCAGCGACGGCCGCGCATCTTCTCTTCGCGGCGCAACAGTCGCGCAACCTCTGGGTGCGAGTTCTCGCCCTCCAGCTCCATCTCATGCGGCGCGCTCGCCGTCTCTCCCTGCTCGATGCGCTCCTTGAACTTCAGCAGCCCGCGCTCCGGCCGCGAATAGGTGTTGCGCGACGGACACACCGACGCGCTCTCGGAGCGCCACCAGCCGTACAAGCCTTTGTTCTCCAGGCCAATCTTGACTGCGCGCGGCAGCTCCGCGTTTCTCAAGACTGTCAGGTACCGCGGCGCTCGCTGCGCGCTCGGAGCGGTCGGCGGAGCCGGTGTAAACCCTTCAACGTCCACTTCGCGCGGCTGCAGGCCGCACAACGCCGCGCTGCGCTCGAGACGGGCGCCGCGCAACCGGTCTGGCAAAAATTCGCCCGAGTTCGGCTCGGTCTGCACAGAACTCGTGACCATCGACCCACTGCGTGGAGCTAATATAATTTGCACCTCTGCGTTTCCGCGGGGCGCGGCGCAAATTCCGCCGCGAATTTCGGAGCAAAAATGTTTAGATCTGCTGCGACTCTGATCGCGCTGGCGCAAATCGGGACTCGTTTCGCGCAAGCTGACGGCGAAGTAACGCTTGGCAAAGTACTGGCAGGGGTGGCCTTCAAGCCGAGGTAGGTCCCTGAATGCGAGACGCAGCGACGCGCCGCTCGCACCGCTCGACTTCGAAAAACTGTATCCCGCCCAAGAGCCAGGCACGCTCGTCGTGAACGCCTTCGTGCCGAACGCAAGCTACGATAAGCAGCAGCTTGAGATCTGGGCGCGGGAAACGCAGCAGAACCGCTCCGAACAGCTGCGCCAGTACCTACAACTGCTGAAGCAAGAACTGGCGCTGCTGCAGGAGCAGCTTGCCGAGGACATCGACCGCGCCGCACAAGCGGTGCAGTTCCAGGCGCCGCTGCTCGACGAAGTCGCTGCTGTAATTAAAAAATAGGCCCATCGCGCTGTGTCTGAGGTTTTCTGGTGCGCAAATAACTCAGAATTTCGCCGTTACGAGCCACGGGGCCGGCGAGGTCGGCGCGCGGCTTGCGTGCGCCTGCGTCTATCTGCGCGTCGGCCTTCGCGTCGGCCTTCGCGTCGGCCTTCGCGACGCCCGCGGCACCGCTCCAGAGCGAAGCCAGCGAGTGTGTTTCGCAGCGATAGGCTACGCCGCAGTGCACTTGCGCCTTCAA